TATCATCAAGGAACTTATCACTCATATACATGATGTATTTACATCGAGTAAATCAGGCATAATAGGACTGTTATAAGACTGTATACAGTGTTGATAATGCTTTATTGGTTATGTGTATAGAGCTGTTTATTATTATTATTATTATTATTACTGTTATTGTTATAACCCTAATTTTGTTTGTCCCAGTGTTTATTGATTGCCAACAGTACGCAGTAATAAGAGAAGGTAAATAGTAATAGTAGTAGTAGTACTAGTAGTAGCAACAGCAGCAGCAGTAATCCCACTGATGGTCAATACTATAAAGTTTCTATGTTTAGATTAAAAGCTTTATCTACTTGTTAAATTTATGCCAGATGGTATTGACATCAATTTTTTCCAAGGTCATTACATCGTTTAATATTCTCTCTGTTATCTCTTCGTCTTCTTTCTATACATGTCTCTTCTATTCTTCAGGTTTCTTCTTTATTGTTTCTCATTTTAAGAAAGACATTTTTGTAGTTGAGATTAATTTTATGTAAATGTATACTGTGATAGACGTGTGTGTGTATGTGTGTTGCCTGACATTGGAAACACATCTTATTGTAGGCTTAATGATATATATACGTCAGAAACTGTACAATGCATAATGCTTGCGATGAAAATGTATCCAAACATTGAAGCACGTACACACACACACACGCACACTGTTTTGTTATAATCAGTACGCCCATAAGAATAATAATAAGAATAAGAGTAATGCAATTACAAAAAATATTTTACAAGATACTCAAAGAGGTGGATAATTGTTAAAGTGGATTAATTGAAGCTCACTACATGTACACCTGTAGATAAATGTATACACTGATGTACTTTAATATAAATAAAGCTTTATTGTGTATTACAGATATTCTATCAATGGAATAAGGCCTTAAGTTTATCCTTAGGCTATACTTAATACTGATGCATAATGCTATGCAAATACAGTTAGTAAGCTGAAGAGAAACTCTATGAGAAAGACACATTCCTAAGCATATGTACACCGGTTATTAACTCAAAATCTTATTGGTAAACAGTGCAACTTAGTTGCCTTATGCAACATGATAAATAACAATAATAGTAACAAAAATAATAAAAGTGATAGCTATCAATGTGAAACTCAGTCCTGCCAGTAAGTGTTAGCATTCTTATCACATACAACAGGCGACTGTAACAGTATGGTGTTTAAATTTTGCAGAAAGCGTGGGCTTTATCCCTTTTTTTATGCAGAAAAGAAAAACACATCAGTAGGCAACGTGCACCTACAACTAGTTTAACAAAAAGAAACAAAGACGATTCTGTTTCCACTTGTCTTTCCCTGTCTCCTACTCTCAATTTACAGCATTTAGTAATAATGATAAATGACAGCAAGTTGATACAACTTTCAATTTAACAGAATAAGGGATTAATTAATACATATAAATATGTATATCAATTTGTAAAATATTCTTCTCTTTTGGATTTAGAGTGAAACATACAGCTTCAGCAGCACATCTCCATCTTACTCTGTTCTCTTCTGGCTGTACGACAACCCATAAGCTATCATTCCCTTCTTACACGATCTCCTTCATATCGTCTTCCTACGTCCGACTGGGCATTTCCCATTCTGACACAAGATGTCACTCAACTGTCTCCTTACAACGAAAAATATCATTGATAAGTAGAAGTGATAAGTCTGCACTAGATTTCTAAAGAATTACAGGAAGTAGACATAATGAACAGGTGTTAGATGACATGCTTTGCCAGTCCTTAAATCAAGTCGAATATAACACTATGCCTTGAATTCCAGGCCTTGTGTTTATATGACACAGACTTTCATGATTAATATCTCTCGATGTGGAGAATTTAATTATCAATCCAACTTACACAATTATTCCGTCAAAATGTCTTAAATCCTATTTCTGCTTTTATAACTAACATCTGTTTCATTTATAACTTTTGTCCATTTTGTCTGTGATTTTGTTTATCGCCTTTGTCTCAACCACATACTGTACAGTGTCAGAATAAATTGACGTCGTTTGTATGTTCACAGATATGTGCATGTAAATATCAAATTTCTCAAATGATTCTTACGCTTATAAAAATCCTAAATAATATAATATTGTGTAATTTTGTTTGACTTATTAGCTTCTTATACTGACTCCTTTATTATTTATTATTATTCTTGTCATTGTACTCACTGACCGTTCAACAAACTTAGTTAGTAAAATTAGGTAACAAAAGCAAATAGTTTGTGCTCAGTATTCGCCTTAACCGTCCAATAATTATCATAATTATAATAATAATAATATTGGAATAGTAATAAGTACTGTAACGGTAACGAATTTCATGCGTTATTCAACAAATTATTAAATAACAGGTGACTCCTATCTCACAAATCTTTCAAATACTTTTCAGAAGCAAACAAACACAGGCAATAACTTGAAATTGGATAGGTCTGACGAGAGATTTCTGTATTTCCAAATTATTCATGTATTCAAAGGGTATAGTTATATATATATATATATGTCTTTGTGTATACATGAACCTTTATTAGTCAAATATGAAATTTCGCCTCTCCTTCTTTTCATGGCATAATTTATTGTATGACTCGGTTCTTCACCGTTAATTATTAACATTGTCACCAATCTTGTGAAATTATGAGTCATTAATTCAAACATCCGGTTTTCTATGATTATGTCACACATGCAAACACTAATCGGTCACATCCACTGAACAAGCCTATTTGAATACATGATGAACAGAAAATGTATATTTATGCTATTCATTGTTTAGTAACGTTGTGAGAATTTGCATGCCTGGATAAGAAGAAAGTTATTATACTCACAATTCTATCGTCTTATCTATTCTTATTACTTCATAACTACTATTATTAGTTGGGTGGAAATCGTCAAAACAAATACAAAAAATTCTTGTGTCTGACTATTGTCCCTCTTTTTTCCCTCTGTCTCTGTCTCCTTGTCTCTACAACACTTGCGTATAAAGACACATAACACCGTCATTAAACAATTAGACCGAACATTTTTGTTTGATCTAATCAAATCATGTGGTTGACAGATGGTGGGACAATTTTATTATTCTCCCAATTTTATAAAGTTTTCTTTTCATATCTGCATATAAACGATGACGAAAACTGAAGTTGAATTCCTTATATTCATAGAAAAAAGTATGATAATTTCCTCTATTTGTCGTCATGACGTAATACTCATTCGGTTTATTATTATAATTTTTTTAAAGAAGTAATGGGCAGTAACAGAACTGTGACAAAAAGGGCTCAGGTATTCGGCTTTTTGTCAATGCGTCACATTTTCGTATCATTGTTGTTCCACCGATGAAAAGTTGATTAATTATGAGGTATTCTATTCTGATCCCTAAAAACTGGATACTCCTTCAGACTAAGTCAATAAAACTATGAATGTTTATAGAACAACTTCCCCACTTTTTAGTAGTAACATAAAAAAAATAGGGGACTGAACACTGAAGATCCAGTCAAGGCCAGATATACCTATTCTGACTTTACGTCGAATGTAACGCCAAATAAGAGGTGATAATAAAGGTACAGGATTCATAGACGACAAAACTATCAGATCATAAAATTAAAAATAACAGTACTACTGAATCTTACGCTGTATATAGATATTAGTGGGCGTTATAATACAGAATAATTTCAGATTGGGACAAAACAAGTGTGTTCATGTTTCTCTGATTTTTACTGATTCAGTAGTTTCTTTCGGTGTACGACAAAACTTCATTTTTGCACCTAGTATACAGAAGTAATTGAACATATTTCACTGAGTATTAGACAATAAGAAGGCAAAAGGCGTTAAATATTTACTTAAGAGACCAGTGGGTACTGACATCGATATGCTTACAATAAATACACTGTACTACTTTATTAGGAATGTCAGTGTAACGAATTACATTATCTGATAAGTAATACTTTTGTAGCATGGATGATGTGTTTATTTGTTCCAATAGAGAGTAGACTGTCTGGACCACTTCTGTAAATTAAGTTAAATTCCAAGATATTATTGATATTAAAGTCATTCTTGACAGTCACAATTTATGTTTCTTTGATGTTTACGTAATGGAAATAACATGTTATTCGGAGAAATTAGCACATCTTCACTGACAAAATCCACCACTGTAACCTTATTAAATTTAGACTGTGAGTTACGGCGAAACATGTAGTAAGGTTTTCATATCCTCTGTTATTGCATACAGTTAGAAATGTATAACTATTATCTATTAACGTGAATGTATATATTTCGGATATACAAAAATAAAAATGATATATGCTGGTCAGATAAGAGAACAATTGTTCGCCAATGACGTCGCGCCATATGTATCGCGAATTGTCAGAAGATGGGATTCATGAGCCATTGACTCGGATCCATCTGGTTGAATGGTCTACGATCTCACCATGCAACTGGAAGGTCTTGGGTTCGAAAGCTGGTGGTAGGTGTATACTGTCTAAGAGCCCCGAACTAGGACGAAACAGTTTCCACTACCCCTACTTTCTCCAATGGTTCTGTAACTGATGTCAATTTGTGATCGAACATGTAAGCAGTCAAATCCGTGCAAGCGAACAGTTGTTAATATGCCAGTTAAACTACCAAGCGAACGTTTCACTTCACCAAGCAATACAGATGTAGATATCTGACAGAACGTGACTTTTTTTCAAAATTGAGAATGCAAAAGAGCTTATTACTGATTGATTTTTAGCATTTACTAAGACTATGCTTCTAGCATTAAAACGATCATTGGATGTATCAGCCTAAGTGGTAAAGCACCAGATTAGTTAGAGGGTTACTGAATCGATTCCTGCCATGAATGACATTTTCATTACTCTTTCAGTCATGGAACGTTACCCAGAAGAAGAAAAAACAGTATAAGTATATTTGGTTGACATTTACTACGTATCGCCTGATTATAGTATTAGTAACAATAATCTATCTTTTTTCTCTATTATCTTTTCCATTTAGGTGAACGACCATATATATGTCGACACTGTGGTAAAGCCTTTTCCCAAAATGGAACATTGAAACGACATTCACAAACCTGTAAAGCAGCGTATAATAATATCAACACCAGTAACAGTGATATCAATAATAATAATAATAAAGAATGCCCTCTAGGACTGAAAATGCCCTTATCCAATGACAACAGTAACAGTTTGATTATGAATACACCTAATCATATCACTGATCCAGTAAATTTAAAACCGTCCAATTTTCCACTTTTATGTGATCCAATTGATGAGCTATCTGATTCTGAAGGTCAAATGAATACATCACAAATAGAGAACACTACTCCTACAATTCATAACAATACTGAAATATCACATCAGTATGCATATCCTGAAGCGAATGAGAAACAGTTAAATGTAAGCAGTTTTTCAGTCATAAATTTACCATTCCCTTAACTGTACCTATATATATATATATATGCATGTCTAATTATTACTATGTCTTTTATAGGTATACTTCTGAGTCTTTCGTGTACAGGATTTTACTTTTCGGTATAATACCGTGCCACCGTGGAGAAGATATAATGCTGTATTCATTACTGTATCATAAATTGTCTAAATAAAATGTTAAGTAATCCGATAATACTATTTAGGCTCATTAACTAGTCTATAGCGTAAATTTAAATTGTAATAGTTGATGGTAATGCTCCTTCATCAATCAAATCTCCATGAGTGAAATGGGATTCTCAAGTGTGTTCCAGTTGGTGAAATTTAAGCATTTAGTCAATAGGCCATAAATTACCTCACTTTAAAATGAAAAACCCAACTCGAACCGAGCCTTTTCTAAATCTGTATGTACTGTTCACATAACATCCAGCAATTACATCCTTTCAGCGTATTTTTTATAATGTGTGAGTAACTGTTCGATGAACCATTTATACATAATCTTATATGCTGCAGTAGTAAAGTAATTTCGATAACCTGTAAGTTATAAAAACATTTACTTGGTTTGACTCATTTCAATATTGAGTTTTTCATTTTACCGACAAGCATTTTACATGTTTGATGGTTTGATAACTCCACATAGTTCTGCTTGAATGTCCATCCACCTACTTAAGACAAGCATAGAATAAAATGTTTGAAAGTCAAACAATTCTTTGCGGCCAGAATATAGTCTGACCACATTTTGTGATCCGTCGATAACCTAGACGTTATTTCTAAAGGGAACAATGGCTTATCCTACTGTTTAGAAGTTTAAGCCAACTGAGAAGTCGATTGTCAGACACAACTGATGAGTTTCCGACCTACCACTTGAAGAATAAACTGAAATAGCCAACCGTTGATTCATTCCCCTTAACTCGTCATGAGTTATTTTCGTGCCAATATCAATCTACACTACATATTATGATCCCTGTGAATATGAACTGTCTTACCGTCTTAGAATACACCTTTTTGATGAATGTACGAAATCACGATAGGTGGGTTTAAGTGCACTTCCTAGGGATAGATCTAACATTTGGAATTGGACCTTAGACTGGTATATTATGTGGGCACTGGGAATCTACAACTTCATTGATGAGCATCTAGAGACTGATTCTCACCTGTATTACATATAATCCGTAGTTTTTTCTTTGAGTTTTTCATATTTCATTGGAAAAGCAGTGCATTTCAACCAGTGACAAGGATAATTGTGTAATTGCTATATATTATAATTTATTATAATAGATGGCGCAACTGTTGATCTCAATGATTCATTCATATAATTATAATTCCACTGTCAACGATCAAAAAAGACAGACAGATTGGCGTTAACTAAAACGACAGTAAAATTTACTGCTGACTAAAGGGTAATGTCCTAATATTACTGTCCAAATACATGGATATTCTACTGTACATGGTGTTTGTTATCCTTGTTTGAGTTTACAGTAGATTAGAGAAAGTAAATTTGGGTTAGACAGCGAGTTCTTCTGCATATCAACATCTTAAAGGTTTAATACTTAAAGTTGAACGTAAACTCATTATTTCTGTTTATTAAGTATTCGCTTTAAAATTCAAAATAAGCACTAGTGTCGTTAACTGAACACTCAAGTTACTTAACATATTAGCAAAAAGTAGCGTCACTAAATTAGGGATTTTAAAGGTAGTAAATTGTCTAATATGGTTGTTTTCTGATCCGAATAAATGGCTGACAGTGTCAGCCAATTCAGTTGTACGGACACATACACAAGAATGATAGTGAAGGGTGAATTGGTCTGTGTTTTCAATTGGAAAATGTTAGAATTCACCGGCTTTGGGATCTTTAGTCGGATGCGGAAATTTGACGCATTTACTTCGGGACTTGATTACTCTAAGCCGGACCCTATACAACCCTATTGCATCCTACCGGATAATCTCAAAGTTTAAGAAAAATGAGTCTGGTCTTCCTGGGATTTTAATGGTTCTCTGGCTGAGTTCAATTTATCTTCAGGTTTGTTTATTACCTTGGAGTACTTTTTGGTCTATAATTTTCTGTCAGCTAGAAGGTTACTTTTCGTTGTTTTACATGTGCTTGTCTCTTAGATCTAATGAATCTCAAAATGAATAGTTGTCAATACTGCTATGTAGTTTATATGCCTGACTAATTATAATTTTCATCCCTCTTCACTACTGAATTTTTCTTAACTGGTTGTTTTAGCTTTGGTTAGCGTTATACAAGAATAATTAACTCTTAATGATAACTTAGTTCACAAATGAATATATTTAACCCAGGGATATTTTGGCTATTCTTATACATTTTATAGTCACAAGTTACTTTTTTATTAGTGACTTTTTTAATTACTGAATTATATACTTCATTGACCAGTCAGGTACATTCGATGTGTTTAATGGTCTAGTGAACAGTTTTACACCTTTGAATTATGAAATGGCAGTTAAGTAGTACAGCGTTCACAGGTTTAATACAAATTACACTGTGGTGTAACGACTGACTTTTTGACATTTCTGTTGATGGTGTCAAACAGAACAGACTACCGGCTGCTATGTTTTATATTAGTGCTTCATTTTTTTTCTTCACGTTCCCAGTGGAACATAGGGCCTCAAGCTAGTGGCTTTAAGTTTCTGTAGCAGTGTTTATTTTACAGGATGGGGTTGCTAGCCTCATGTCCAACCTTTCCTCTTCACCAGCATTACTTCTGGCTTAGCGAGGTAAAGGAGTGCGTTGGCGAGCGTCCTAACCGCTATGCCACCGACGCACTAGTGTTTCATGAGCATTCCTAATGTCTCATAATTTGTACAACAATTAAGATGAGTGTTCGAGACTTCTTACATAAGCGGTCTGACTCTGGACCTTGAAACCTGTTTCAGAAGACTGTTTAGATAAGTCCGGAACGGTATTATCACGGACACTAACTGTCAAGATTGATTAGTGCGTTATTCTCTCTTTTTTAGAACCTGGAATATGTATGGCAAGGTTTAATAATCAATCTTTGAATGAACCTTTCATATACGCCTGTTCAGCGATAAATGTCCTACATTCGCTATAATATTAGTAGTAGGTTATTTTGCTTTATTTACCTTTAATCCAGGCATTGTTATAGTTGAGTTGTGTGATTACGCTGGTTGAAATTGTATAGCCAGTTTGTTTCTTTCTTCAATATATTTCTGCCTCTTTCCTCTCTGTCTGCATGGGTTTATAAATATTACATTTTTTCTTCCTTGTTTACTCATACCGAGCAGCATTCGAATGAAAAATCTCCAGGTCACCTAAGCTGTTATAACATTCTGTGTGTACAAATGAAACTTTGTGTATGTGTGTGTATGCGACAGGAAAGGTTGTATCTATAAATCATTGCAATCGTTCGCCCGTACATTTATTAAGTAACCAATGGATCGATTCGGTAACTTCATACCCCATACATTGTTTAAAATGCGTAGGATTTTGCGGTCTGAATTGTGTACTGTCATACACACACACACATACACGTAAACACATGCATCAATGCTTTTCACTTCTTGCTTCGTTTAGTTTACGTTGGTTGCTTGTTTGCTTCTATATTAAATACTGGTTTTTGGTCTGTCCATCTGCTAAGCTCACACACTGGAATATACTCGAATTCTTTACTACTTACTACTTTATTCTCTTCCTAAGTCACCTCTCACCCCCCAAACCATGTTACTCATTTTATCGATGTGAAATTTTCTCTTTGTTCGTGTGACAGCCCCAAGAGACATGAATATACAGCATTAAAAAAAAAGGAAACACATAACTCAACCTGTGTTTCTCAATCGAACTCACGTAACAACATTTCCTCTTTTATTGTATGACAGCCGCTGAGCTCATATTAGCCTGTCTGACTCATAAATGCTTATCACTACTATTGTAGTATGACCCCAAGGGAGAATGTAACCTTGTTCATTGGCTATGCGTGTACGCGTGTTTGCGTATGCATGCTATAGCAGAGAATTAGATAGTGTACAACCGAGCGCAAAACTCGGTCATTCTTTATTAATTTCTCATGTATGTTTATAAAATTGCAATTGTGTACAGTGTTACCTTATTTTAATGTATGTATGCATGTATCTGTACTTAGGTGAGCAGGATAAGCAAAATAGAAAGGTAAGTAAGTGGGTGGGCGCGATACACACATTTTCATAGAGGTATATCCCTACTGACACATATACAGATACACACACACACACTACGCACGTGCTTACACTACCCTCTATCCATGTATATATCTTATAGGCAAATAATGTTTGTTACAATGTGTTGTACAAGGTAGATTGTATACAACAAAACAAATTTATGTAACTTCATTGCTTGTTTCTTTTTTTTTTATTGCGTTCTCTTTCACCTGAAAATTAAAACAAAAATGCCATGCTAAGATTTTCATTTTAAAGCCTGCAGACACACACACACATCTACTTAACATGTAAGAAATATACATGATTAAATAATATATTTAGAGGAAATACACAACATAAATGAATGCAATGTTTACTTACTGATATCATCAGTTACTAGTACTATTACTCTTACTTTAATGCTACTATGAATAATAATAATAGTTTTAGCTTCATGTTTAGCTCACTTATTAATTCTGTAAACTAGTACAAGCCGAATACATAACACACCAACTTTCCACTAAGAAATCGCACTTAAAAATACTCCCATTAGTGCCTAATGTATGCATATATATATACATATGAATGCACAATACAATATCCTACACATGAATAGAATTTACAAGGTCGAATTAAGGTCGTACCTTACAACGAATAATGATAATCATAATCATAATCCTGTTCTTACAATATTCTGCATCAGAAGGAAGCATATTATGTATGTCGATGATTAAAATCATACTAATTAATGCTGCTTCTGCTGTTATTATTTTGCATGTAGTCTTTCACATGTAGGAAAGAAATTTATGTTCGAA